GGCTGCCTGCCTTGAGCCCAGCCCAGCACCTCCCCTGGCACAGCCAAGCCTGCCTGACTCAGAGGGTGGGGTGACCTGAAGATCTCTCTTGGCTGGCTAGCTAGCCGGCTGGGGGCATCCCCGGAGACCTGCCCAGCCAGTTTCCCATATTGCCACATTGGCACTGAATCCTTAATTCCCCATAGGCATCTCCTTGGGGATGGCTTGAGCCAGAGCAGGGGCAGGACAACCTTCCTCCACCAGACTCGGGTCTCAGAAGCCAGGGGATCAGGCTCCGGCCCTGAGCTCTGGGTGGGTTTCCCCTTGGAGGGGTACAGGAGTGGACCAGGACCCCCCTAACTCCAATGGTGATGGGGCTGAGTGTTGGGCAGCGTGGCCTTGGGGTGCCGTGGTTGAGCACGTGGCTGGGCCCTAAAGGTCAGTGGTTGTAACCCATCAGCCACGCCATGGGAGCAAGAGCCACAAGCTGACTCACTATTTCCACTTAGAGCTACCCTGCCTGACAGGGTACAATTGCCCCCGTGGGTTTGGAGACTGATTCTTGGGAGTAGAAAGCCCCATCTCTCCCGCCACAAGGATCAGAGGCTTAGAAACGCTGGGAGGCAGTTCCACTCTGCCCTGGAGGGTGACCGGGAGTCGGAAGCCCTCAAAGGCAGAGGGTCTGATGGTTTAATCCAGCTCCAGGGCTCCCTGAGCAGGACAGTGTGGGGTGACTGGGCTGGTGGGACCACCCTTTTCAGATGAGGAATCCAGCAGCCTTGCGGCTCAAGGAGTGAGCGACTTGCCACCAGGGGCCTGGCTTCTCAGGGGGCCCTCTCCAACCAGCTGGCCACCTCCCCTGCTCCTCCATCACCAGTTGGCATGGAGATGATGACCCGGCTCATAGCAACCCGTGTGGGAGGAGAACTGTGCTCCATCGGGGTTTCAGTCACTGATTTTTCGGAAGCAGATCACCTGGCCTTTCTTCCAAGGTGCCTCTGGGCAGTCTCAAACCTTCAGCCTTTTGGGTAGCAACTGAGTGCTTAGCTGTATGCACCACCAAGAGTTGACTGCCCCTCCAAGAAGTCAGCTGCGGCAAGCTTCAGCGCCAGGTAGTACAGCCAGAGGCCCAGCCAGCAACTCAGGGGCAGAGCCAGGTCGGGTGGGGGGTGGGGGCAGCCACTGGGGACCAGGCCAGCTCCATCCTCCTCCCCTAGGGCTCCCAAGCCTTTCAGAATTGCCTTTGGCTGCTGGATGCCTGCGATCACTTTTCTTAGTCCTCAGTGCCTTTCCCTTAAATGGAGGGAGGAGGGTCCAGGGGGTGAGGGCAGGTGCAGCTGCCCTCCCTCCCCCTCCTCCTATAGGGCAATGATGGTGGAAGACCCCCTAGGCCAGACAGAGCTCTAGGGAGGGGGCAGGAGGGGAGCTGGAGGTCCCTCCAGGGCCCCAGGGCAGCCTGGCCTGGAGGATAGCAGGGAGTGTGGGAAAGTGGGAATGGGAGGGGCTGGGTGCTGGCAGAGTGGGTCTGTGAGCCTGTGTAGGAGCCACCAGCACTCTGCCTGGATCCCCCTCCCCGGGCAGGGCAGAAAGTGAGAGGAGTGGGCTGATGGGATGGAAATTAAGCTGCCAGCTTGGGGTTCCCTCAGCGCAGAAGCCGGTGACAGTGGTGACGGGCCTGCTGGGCCTGCGCCTTGTCTTGTGACCCTAGGATATGGAGCAGAGTGGACCCTAGGATATGGGGCCCCAGGGGTGGGCTTCAAAAGGGTGTGTGAGCAGCACTACATGTGGCCCATCCCTTTACCCTGGTCTCACAGGGGTCTGGGCCCCAAAGAGCCCAGTGGCCAGCAGAGCCCACAGGGGCAGTTCTACCCCGTCTTCAGGGGTCACTCTGAGTCCGCATGGACTCGATGGCAGTGAGCTTGGAGTTCTTAAGAGAAGTGCTTCACTGTCTATAGTAACAGCCAGTACTAGATACAGTACAGCATGCCAGTCCTGGGCCATGAGTCAGCATGCTGCTGTGTGTGTGTGTGTGTGTGTGTGTGTGTGTGTGTGTGTGCGCACATGCACACGTGCGTGCTGTGGTGGGGGTGGGAGTGGGGTCCCAATTCTCCATGTTGGATCTCAGCTGCATGTGGAGGTGGTGGGCACCCTTCTGGCAGGCAGTCTGATGCATCTTGGGGACAGAGGTTAGGAGCTAAACCCACACAATTGATTTATGCCTTCTCCTCAGTTGGACTTTTGAGATTTGCCTGTGAAGTCGATGCATTGCCTTCTTTCCTCTTTAAGAACTAATCGACTGAGGGGAGCGGGGAGGAAGGGAAAAAAATGAGGAGCTGATGCCAGGGGCTTAAGTGGAGAGGAAATGTTTTGAGAATGATGAGGGCAATGAATGTACAAATGTGCTTTACGCAATGGATGGATGTATGGATTGTGATAAGAGTTGTATGAGCCCCTAATAAAACGATTAAAAAAAGAGAATTAATTGACTTAATACCCAAAGGGGAGAAACCCTAGAGAATCAGACTTCATTTTTCAAATAAGGTAACTGTATTTTTACAATCATAATCCATTTGTTTTTATTTCATTTATTTATATTTTTGCTTTCTCTCTTTAAACTCTGATAAGTATCCTATGATGTGAAGGGGGCTCAAATTTCCACAGGATTTTTGAAGCCCACTCGAGCGTGGACCCCATTATACTCCCACTCCCCACATCAGTCAACTCAACTCATCCTTCTCCAAGTAGAAGTGCCCCGGTGGGTTTCTGAGGCTGTAAGTTCTGGCAGAAGCAGAGCACCTGAGCTGGTGGGTCCAAACTGCTGACCGGGTGGTCAGCAGCCCAAGACATAAGCCATCGTGTCATTATCTCTTTACTCATCTTGTGTTTAATCCCTATCACTCAGTTCTCCCCTCTTGCCTTTCACACACACAGTCCTCTGACAGGACACTCTGGGCCTCCTCGTCGATTTAGCCACAGCCCCCCTCCCACGCCTACATGGATGCAGAGCCTGGCTTGGAGCAGGCAGCAGGACTCCCACCTCACATCCCCTCTGTGCACACAATTTCCATCTCGCCCTGAGTCTCAGCCCTGGAGGAGCAGACGCAACAGAGCCCAACTTTTCTGAAAGAGAAGTTTGGTAGCACCCCAATTGCCTTAGAATGAAGAGTGGGATGTGGGGCCGCCTCCCCTGCGGCAGCCACTGGAGTCCCCGCCCAGAACAGACACCACCCCCGAGCAGATCCGTACTCACCAGTGGAAGGAAGGTCAGCAGGGGCCGGACCCTGGGCCGAGGTTTTAGCGTGGCCGTTCCCGACTCGCTCACCGTGTCAAACCGATGGTCTCCGTAGTAGATCCCGTCTGGAGGGGATGAGAGAGGGAGGTGGTGAGCTGGGGGTCAAAGGCGGATGTCTGAATCAGTCAAGTTCAATCTGCAGCTCCCGGGTGAGGGAAGCCAGGCCCTGCAGTTGCCCCTGGTCTACTCAGCTCAGTGCACCATCAGACAGTAAGACCGCTTCAGTGGGGTGTGTGCCAATGGGCCTCACTGAGGCTGGATTGCGGGGGTGGGGGGTGGGGGGCATTGCCTCTCCTTTGGGGGGGCCTGAGAGCTTGGCCAAGCCCCTGCCCTAGCCCCGGTCAATGCTCATCTTCAAGAGAGGGAGCGAGCACATTCATTGCCTTTCTCTCAAGTACTTGGATCTAACCTGGAGCAAGCAGAGATGATGGGCCACCTGCTGTCCCCAGCACTCAGTCAAGACTTCTGGAGCCTTCAACTTTGAGGACCCGCCCTCCACCCGAATCACAAGGTCAGAAGCCAAGGGAATGGGTGTGGCCCTGGCCCTAGGAGAGGAGCTGAAAGAGCAGAACTGTGGGTCCTACCCCAGCCCCCCCACCAGAGGGGCTCTCTGGGCCTCAGTTCCCCCGCCCCCGAGCACCGTGGGAGGAGTAAGTGTGCGGACGGGGTGGGTGGTGGGTGGGGGCGCTTTCCTGGTAGGAAGAGAGAAGCTCTTCCCTCTTTCTGGTGCAGGGCTCAGCTACGACAGAAAGGTCTGCCCTTGGGAAGACCTGGCATAGGTTCCTGAGCGCATAGCGGGCGGAGCTCCCTGTGAGGATGCAGCTCAAGGCACTTCCCCCAGGGTGCTTCCTGGAGCAGGGTGTGGGGGGTCATTTCCTCCTCTGCCCCAAGACTGGGAGAAGAAAGGTCTGCAGCCCCTAAAGCAGAAGCCACCACGTGGAACCTGAACCTGCTGAGATGAGCTTCCTCTTGCACGCAATTCGAGGCGAACGACCACAACGGTGCCAAATGATTAGCTTACACACCTGTCAGGAAGGTGTTGGGATCAGAACACACGCACCACAGTTTCCTACACCTAAGCCTCGACTCTGCAGCCCTGTATGTGAGCATCCGGCTTACACTGTCCCCAGTAACCCAGCAGTGAGTCAAGATTCTACCAAGGCAGGCACCTGGCTGGTACAGCCAACAGGCTCAGCAATCTCCCGAGCAGAATTTCAGATTCCCACGGAATCCAGACTATCTGGACCCACGGAGGCCACGTGAGTTCTTCCTCCAAACGATTAGTACGCTACACACCGAGCACATCGGCATCGAGTCATTGCTAATGCACAGTGAGCCTGTAGGGCCGGGAGATCCTCTGCTGTGGGTTTCTGAGACTGTGATTCTCCCGGGAGTAGAAAGCCTTGATGTGCTCCCGTGGAGCAGCTGGTGGTTTCGAACCGCTGACCTCGAGCCTCGCAGCCCAACTTGTAACCGCTACACCAGCAGGGCTCCTCGGCATCCCAAGGGTCTCTTTAAAGCGCACACTGCAAGCATCCCCTGAAGTCAGCTCTGGTGCTGTTAGCCAAGCTAGACAAGAACCCCTGCACGAAGCGGACACTCTTTCAAAGAACGCGCGAATGATGGATGCGGGGCGTGGGGGGCCGGTGATGGTGAAGTCGTTTGGAAAAGGCGGTCGAGAGAGGTGGCCCCCCTCGGAGAGTGTAACCAGTGTCACTGACCGGAGGTGACTGACGTGGTGTTACGAGGGGAAGGTATGAAGCGTTGCGACTGGGGTTCGCATGCGTGGGTTTCTTTCATGTAACATGCATGGCGACCAGCGCTGTCAGTCACGCGCTTGCTGCGCAGAGAAAGTTCTGTCTCTGTCAGGACAAGGCACCTGCTGGTTCTCTGAGCGCAGCAGGGCTGTCCTGGGAGAGCCTGCCCCAGCCACCGGCAGCCCCAAGCTTGCCCCTTGCCCCTCAGACATAAAGTGGAAAGGGACCCAATTGGAGTCCCTTGAGGAAGACCCCAGTGATGGGCGTAAATGGAAGAACACAGGGTGGGGGGCTGGAGAGATGGAAACACCACCCAGTGAGGAGTGAGCACCTGGATGCAGGGCAGGGTGGGAGGGACGACAGATTCTGCTTTGATGTTTCCATGGGATAAAGGTTTCCGTGACTCTGCATGAGATGCTCCCACCGAAAATAAAAGGTTCTGAGCACCCCACCCCACCCTCACTAAGAGGTTCAGACAGTGTGTGCTCCGTGGGTTCCCCCGGTCCCAGGCAAGGCCAGTTCCCCACACGGTCCTGCCCTGCACATGCGGGCAAACCCGATTCCCCAGTCCTGGCTGCCAGCTAGGCGCCCCAGGCTGCAGACTAGCCCTGGGGAGGGGGGGG